TATATATATATATATATATATATATATATATATATATATATATATATATATATATATATATATATATATATATACATTAAGATTTAACTTACTATTATCTATATATATTGATAACAACTTCTCTAAACTTTTATCTTATAACTGTTATAACTGTTATAGCTGTTTAGAATTAACGTTACTGTATGATTGTTTTAAATCATATCAGTACATCGCATGCAAGACTGACATATATGACATTGATGTTTTCAATATCTAAAATACATTCAAACAAATTATAATTTGCAAAGTGGTCCATATACTCTATATGTAAACGATATATTTTATGAACCAACATTGAAATTAATAAAAAAAATTTCGAAGCACTAAAACGTTACAGGATCAAGGAAAGCCTATATGCTTACTTTCGCGAAAAGTTCTAACGATAAATTCGCCATTCCTCCGGCCGTGATAGTTAGTAGTTTCTGTGCTCTCATGATGATTAATAATATTTTTTTACTCTCATTAGACGACATGTTGTACCATAAAGATTCATACGCGGCATCAGCGAGTGATTTACTCTGGGAGAAATGCAACAAAAATTGAAAATGGTATCCGCCTTTATTAGGAAAATTAGATACAGTGTTCGCAGAATATAAAGTTTATAAAAAGTTTTAAATACAATGGAAAATAATTTTATATGTTATGAATCCTTGCATGATAATTAGCGTGCAATTTGAATGTAAAAAGAAGTAAAAAGACTTTTTCATTTTAACTTAATAATGAATATAAACTTATTGATTAATATATGAAAAGGTACGCACATGTTCAAATATGTATGATTTAAAACATTTCCAATAAAAAATTAGAGTGAACCAAACTACTAGTAAATTTGACTACTACCATGAATAATTAGTTATCAAAACAAATTGATGAAAAAATAATGGATATGATAACGGAAAAAATCAGATTTACACTTAACTAATTTTAGATATTCACTAACCTTAAGACTAAGATATTCTCCGGCGAAACAAAAGATAAAACTTTCTATCATTACGCCGCCGCAAGCTACTGCGGTTTTCATTAGGCCCATGCCAGTATTATCTTGAAGAGACTATGACATTAAACGAAATAGGTGTCGTCAGCTAAGTTAAATCAATTACGATATCGATAACTGCACAATTATACAAAAACTGAGATACTCACTGATATGACAAGGAGTCCTAGGATGCAGATGACTAAGGTATTCCAAAAAACTTGCATCAAAGCCATAAAGGAAAAAAGATTGTACATATTCTTGGAAAATGCGATGACCTTGTTATGCTTCTCGACCAACATTCCAATTGTACACTCACAAGATTGATAATAAGCTATTTTGTCGGAGATAATTTTAAACTCTTGATGTATAATATCAATTTGTCCGCTTACATGAAGTACCTAAAATATACTTAAGTATCTGCAAAGATTCCAAGTATCATGTTTAAAGAAGAAAATGCGTTCTGGAGAAAATCTCCGCCAGAAGGGGAAGAAAAAGACAGAACGTAATATCTTCGATATGTAAAAAGGTAATGTAAATATGTATAAAGGTACCAATTTTCGGACATATATCTAATTTTTTATATTCTTATTGTTTAGGTTTTCAAACAAGAATATTTAAAATTTAACATAAAATATATTTACATACTTAATATTAGTACATATATTTTATGTTGAATGTTAAATATTTTTATCTAAAGACTTAAACAAAAAGGGTTTCTTAGATTATATACGTGTCCGCACATTATATCAAGTAGTAATTGACTAACACAAATTTGGAAATCTTTCAGCCAATGATTAGTAATTATTTATACCTTTAGATTAAAATTTACTGATCCTCGAATTTGTGTAAAACATTTATAAATTAGATTGGACGGCAAGTAAAACTATATTACTCCTCCCATGTGCATATTTTTGGGATAAGTCCCGTTAAAAAATTTTGCAAGACATACCAGAGTGCTAATCAGTGCATCCACAATAACAACTGTGTACGCATTTAACAAGACATATGCAAACATGATGACGACTAGTAGCTCGTAGATAGGGGATTGCTCGGCCTTGGAGGAATACAATAACTTCACGGGGAATGGACGTGAAGTATCATTGCCGCTCTCAATCGAATGCATAATGTCAATCGCGAAATCTCCCACAAGATAGATAATTCCGACACTCATGTAGAAACTCATCATAACGTTCGTGCAAAAATGCGAGATGCTAGCTTTCGTCGTCATTATGTACAAATCCCGCTCGACCCTCACGCACTCGCGCCAATCAGTGTCCATATGGGTCAATATTTCGCGAACCAAGCTGCAATGTGTCACTTCAATCCAATAAAGATAATATTTATATTGGCGTTATCATGATGCACGTTGGTCTCTCAAACGCACAAAACAAGTCGGAGCAACTTAACATCGCGTTGTCTGACGCGGTATCTTACCGTTCATTCTTCCAAAGTGTCATCAGCTTTATTAACCTCAAACTGTAATCAAAAGCCAACGGCAAGCTGTCCACGAGACTTTGCACCTCGCCTTGCTTACAGTGTGCAAATATATATAGATACTGAAAGTACTGCATAATCATTATGATCGACATAAAAATCAGCCGGATAATAATAGCGAATGGCATATCCGGCCACACACCGAGGAACTGAAGACCGATCTTCAGCAACGGACTAACCGTGCTCATGACTAACACCTATTAACTATCTAGAGAAGATACGGGGAGACAAAAGTGGCATGCACGGGGCTCTCGTGTATGGTAAACTGAGAGAGCACTGTCCCCCACGTACTAAGTCCCTACTCCGGCGACTTTCGATCAATCGTTATTATATGTCGCGTGATATAACAGTAAGTCGAAATAAACTTCATTATCTACATGGACATCCTGTAATTCCGCCAACGTTCTGAACAATACCACCTGATCGGGCATCGAAAAAAATTTACGCGTATGTCTCTGCAAAAAGTGGTTGATTCTTTTCCGTAAATTACTTCCATGACAAGAAAATCGTCGACATGAAAAGATGATCTTCGCATTTTCTATGCACATCGAAGATTATTCCTAAGCGTGCGCAGAGGAGTGATTATAATTTTGCAATAGATATTCTACCTGAACGGAACTGAATTACATGCGTGATGAGACTTGAAGGAAATAAGCAAAAGAAAGAGATTGTGTGTCTTTCATTTATTAGTTTTGAGTAACGCATGACGTGTAATTTTTATAAATGCCACAGCGAAAAATATTTTTCAGTCTGTATGTATTAAATAGCCAAAAGAAGACCTTGGATATGCTATAAAGCTACATTATATTTTCTAGTTAAAATATTTTAATATACAATATTGTAACAAATTAGTAATAAAGTGTTTATTTTAATAAATATTAGCAATGATAGTGTTTATTTTAATAAATATTAGCAATGAATGCAATCTGCAAATTCCAGATTACATTTTTTATCTACATTAAGATTTAGCTTACGATTATCTATATTTATTGATAACAATTTCTCTAAACTTTCAGCTTGTACTAATAGTATTGTTTAGGTTTAACGTTACTGTATGATAGTATTAAATCGTATCAGTACATCGCATACAAAACTGACATATATGACATCGATGTTTTCAATATCTAAAATGCGTTCAAACAAATTATTATTTGCAAAGTGGTTTATATATTCTATACGTAAATGATATATTTTATGAACCAACACTGAAATTAATAAAAAAAGTTTCGAAGCACTAAAATGTTACAGGATCAAGGAAAGCCTACATGCTTACTTTCGCGAAAAGTTCTAACGATAAATTCGCCATTCCTCCGGCCGTGATACTTAGTAGTTTCTGTGATCTCATAATTATTAATAATATTTTTTTACCCTCATTAGACGACATGTTGTACCATAAAGATTCATACGCGGCATCAGCGAGTGATCTACTCTAAGAGCAATGTAACAAAAATTGAAATAAAATGATATCCGCCTTTATTAGAAAAATTAGATAGTGTTTGCAGAGTATAAATTTTATAAAAAGTTTTAAATACAACGAAAAATAATTATATATAAATAATAATTATATATATTATGAATCTTTGCACGATAGTTGATATGCAATTTGAACTGAACAAGGAAGTGAAGAGATTTTTAATTTCAATTTAATATGAATTTATCAATTAATATATAAAGAAGTACGCATATGTTCAAATATATATGTTGTAAAATTGTGTCCAATAAAAAATTGCACTAAACTAGACTATTAGTAAATGTGACTACCGTTAACAATTAGTTATCAAAATAAATTGGTGAAAAGATAATGGATAAGATAACCGAAAAAATTAGTTTTATATTTAATTAATTTTAGATATTTACTAACCTTAAGACAAAGATATTCTCCGGCAAAACAAAAGATAAAACTTTCTATCATTGCAGCGCTGCAAGATAATGCGGTTTTCACTAAACCGATGCCAGTATTATCTTGAAGAGACTATGACATTAAACGAAATAGTTGTTGTCAGCTAAGTTAAATGAATTACGATATCGATAACTGCACAATTATATAGAAACTGAGATACTCACTGATATGACGAGGAGTCCTAGGGAGCAGATTACTAACGTATTCCAAAAAACTTGCATCAAAGCCATAAAGGAAAAAAGTTTGTCCATATTCTCGGAAAATGCAATGACCTTATTATGCTTCTCGACCAACATTCCTATTGTACACTCAGAAGATTGATAATAAGCTATTTTGTCAGAGATAATTTTAAACTCGTGATGTATAATATCGATTTGTCCGCTTGCATGAAGTACCTAAAATATACTTAAGTATCTGCAAAGATTCCAAGTATCATGTTTAAAGAAGAAAATGCATTGTGGAGAAAATCTCCGCCAGAGGGGGGAGAGAAAGGCAGAACGTAATATCTTCGATGTGTAAGATAAAGATTTCCAGACACGTATCTAATCCTGGACATTCTTATTGTTTTGGTCTTTAAACAAGAGTACTTAAGTTTTCAACATAGAATATATTTATATACTCAATATTTGTACATATATTTTATGTTGAATGTTTAAATATTTGTATTCAAAGACTAAAACATAAGGAGTATCTACGATTATGTACATGTCTGAACATTCGTACTTTTATTTTATATCAAGTAATAATTAACTAACGAAAATTTAAAAATCTTTCACTCAATAATCAATAATTATTCGTATCTTTAGATTCATACCTTTAGATTCATACCTTTAGATTAAAATTTACTGATCCTCGAATTTGTGTAAAACAAAAATTTATAAATTAGATTCGACGGCAAGTAAAACTATATTAACCTCCCAATTATATTAGTCCTCCCATGTGTATACTTTAGGGATGTGAGTCCCGTTAAAGAATTTTGCGTGACATACCAGAGTACTAATCAGTGCATCCACAATAACAATTGAATATGTATTTAACAAGGCATGTGCAAACAGGATGACGACTAGTAGTTCGTAGATCGGCGATTGCTCAGCCTCGGAGGAATACAATAACTTCATGGGAAATGGTCGTGAAGTATCATTGTCACTCTCAGCCGAGTGCATAATATTAATCGCGAATTCCCCTACAAGATAGGTAGTTCCGACGATCATGTAGAAACTCATCATAATGTTCGTGCAAAAATGCGAGACACCAGCTTTCGTCGTCATTATGTACAAATCCCGCTCGACGCTCACGCACTCGCGCCAATCAGTGTCTATATGGGCCAACATTTCGTGAACTACTCTGCAATGTGTCACTTTAATCCAATAAAGATACTATTCATGTTGGCGTTATCATGATGCACGTTGGTTCCTCGAACGCAAAAACAAGTCGGAGGAACTCAACATCGCTTTATCTGACGCGGTATCTTACCGGTCATTCTTCCAAAGTGTCATTAGCTTTATTAACGTCAAACTGTAATCAAAAGCCAACGGCAAGCCGTCCATGAGACTTTGCAACTCGCCTTGCTTGCATTGTGCGAATATATATAAATACTGAAAGTACTGTATGATCACTATGCTCGACATACAAATCAGCCGGATAATAATAGCGAATGGCATATCCGGCCACACACCGAAGAACTGAAGACCGATCTTCAGCAATGGACTGACCGTGCTCATGACTAATTAGAGAAGACACGGGGAGACAAAAAGGGCATGCACGTGGCTTTCGTGTATGGTAAACTAAGAGAGCATCGTCCTCCAAGTGCTCCCCTACGTATTACGTCCCTACTCCGACAACTTTCGATCAATCGTTATTATGTGCCGCGTGGTATAACAGTAAATCGAGATAAACTTCATTATCTACATGGACATCCTGTAATTCCGCCGACGCTCTAAATAATGCCTTCCGCGCGTAGAAAGTAAAGTTATACGTGCGTCTGTTCGAACAGTGGCATAATTTCTTTTGTTGCAAATTTTCCACCACATCATGGTGCCATCGGTAAAAAACGAGTGATGCTCGCGGTCTCTACATGCATAAGAGACTACTTAATGTGCGGTGACTCGTTCGTTGGACGACCGTAATTCTACATTAATTATTCTAACAGAACGGAACTATGTTACGTGCGTGGCAACAAGTCTTGAAAGAAATAAACGAGGGAAAACATTATGTTTCTCCCCCTGACGAGGGAGCTATCGTGAGTAATGGCGAGTAATTTTCACAAATGCTACGCAGGACGATGTTCTCGAACTGCACATGTAGCAGAAGTCTCAAAATTAAAAAAGTTTTAACCCACCAGGAAGCCTAGGTACAGGTAAATGAAAATGTCGTAAAAATCGTACGCGCACAGAATTTCCGGGGATGACCCTAATGACAAATTGCACGTTAGATATGGCATGATGATATGAAACTTTTTTAGATAAAAGTATTTTTATATGGAGTATAGTTTACCATGATATATGAAAGCATTTATTGTTTTATATTAAACATAAACATAGTCGTATAATCGGCAAATTTTCTATTACATCTTGGATTTATATAAAAATTTAGTCTACGATGATCTTGTATAGTTTCATAAATAACAATTTCTAAACATTCGTGTACTATTTACGCCATTTAGGTTCAACGTGGACCTGCTAAGATTTATAGTGATATCAATACATTGCATACAAGACAGACACATATGACGCTGACGCTTTCATGATCTAAAATAAAAAATAAATTGTAATTAAGAATATCCATATATATATATATATACATAAAGCAATATATTTTGTAGCAAGCATTGATATTAACTAAAAAAAAACTGCACAAACTTACACTCGCGAAGGCCTCTAACGATAAATTAGTCATTCCTCCTGCCGTGATATTCAGTTGTTTCTGAGATCTCATAATTACGAATAATAAATTTTTACTCCGTTTAGGAGTCATATTATACCACAAAGAATTGTACGCTGCATCGGCGAGTGATTTACTCTGAGAGCAATGCAACAAATAAAAATGAAGTAAAATGATATTTTCTATTATTAAAAAAAATTATGATCAGTGTCCATAACCTATAAGTATTTTGAAATATTAATAATCCAATGAAAAATACATACATAAAAAATTTTCCATTCATTTCAAGATAAATATATTTTAAAATATATATGTTATAACCGTTTTCAATTAAACAAAGAACCGAGCTATTATGGCTAATAATGAACTAATAATGATATTAGATTGCGCAGGAAAATTATTTAATATTATTAATAATATTTTATTCACTAACCTTAAGACTTAGGTATTCTCCAACAAAGCAAAAGAGAAAAACTTCCATTACTATAGCACTATAGGCGAATATGGTTTTTAATAGACCGATACCAATTTCTTTACCAGACTGTTTCATTAAACGACAAAATGAATTACACTATAGATTATTGCGCACACATAAAGATATTGCAATACTTACTGCCATAAGGACAAATCCTAGGGCGCAAATAACTGTGGTATTCAAAAGAATTTGTATTAAAGCTACCAAGGAGAAAAGCTTACTGACATTCTCCGAAAATGAGATGATTTTATTGTGTTTTTCGATCATTATTCCTATATTATGCCCAGAAGATCCGCAATAGGATACGTTCTCGGAGAAAGCTTTAAACTCTTGACATATGATATCGATTTGTCCGCTCGCATGAAGTACCTAAAATATACTTAAGTATCTGCAAAGATTTCAAGTATCATGTTTAAGGAAGAAATTATGATGGATATCTCGAGTAAAAAGGGGGACAAGAAATAACAGAGCGGAAAAAAGAGAAAGCAACATATTATATTTTCTTATATAGTATATAGCTGATAATTTAATTATAAGTATCTCCTGATCAGTGATCAGTAAATTTTTTTTTCTGACCAAGTTTGAGGCGACATCAAAGTACGAAAGCAAGTTTCGCTAATTATGATCGATGGTAACTAAAGTTATATCACTTCTGCCGCAAACGATACTTCTAGGTCGTGAGTCGATTCTTCAGAGTTCTGCGAGACGTACCAGAGTAAAAATCAGCGAGTTTACAACAGTAACCGTTAACATGTTAAACATAGCGTGCACAAACAAGGCGGCGAAGAGTAGCTCATAGATCGGCGATTGATCTGTGTCAAAGGGAAAGAGTATCTTCATAGGAAACGGTCGCGTGGTATCATTGTCTCCCTCTGACTGTTGTACGATTGCAATCGCGTTATTGCCGATGTAGTAAATCGCAGCAGCAAATATGTTGAAACTGAACAAAGCATTCGAGAAAAAGTGCGCGACACTGGCTTTCGCCGTCATCAAGTGCAAATGTTGATCGACGTTCACGCACTCACGCCAATCTGTGTCCATGCCAGTCAGTATTTCGCGAACAACGCTGCAATGTTTCATTTTAATCGGACAAAGATACTTCGTATGGTAGCGTTATCACCACTTACGGAAAATTATAAAACGCCACATCAATTAATACTTAGACAATGCAATTAATCAAAGGACTAGCGTGGTATATATTCAGAAACGATCTCGTTCCCCGAGCGCGTAGATGAGTTTGACAAAATCGAAATCGCATTTTCTGACACGATATCTTACCGACGATTTGTCCAAAGAGTCATCAGCTTGACAGCCGATAAACTAAATTCTAAAGTTGTCGGCAAGTTGTCCATAAGATCCTGCACCTCGTCGAGCTTGAAGTGCGCGAATAGGTATAGATATTGAAAGTACTGCACCACAATTAAGCTCGACATGAAAACTAGTCGGCGAACGACGACGTATCGCATGTCCGGCCACGCGCAGAGTAATCGAAGGCCGATTCTCAGCGACGGACTAACCGTACTTGTGAATATCATTCGTTAACGATCCAGAAAGTACACGGAGAAATGAAACTCAGACTATGCACGGTAAACTGAGAGAGCATCGTCCAATCCTCTAAGTGCATCCTCACGTGTTACGTCCCCACTCTTATGACCACCGATCAATCGTTATTATGTGTTCCGTAGTATAACAAGAAGATCCGAGATACAGCTCATTATTTGTATGTTCCTCTTTTAATTCCACCGGCGCTCTAAATAATGTGTACTAACCGCATTTCAGGAAAAAATGTTATGTCCCCTCGCATAGATGTCAGTCTTCCCTCTTTTCTTTTTTTCGAAAATTTCTCTTCACGATAATCATCGACAAAATGCGAATGTTTCTTTCATTTTCTACGTGTACCGAAGACTATTAAATCGTCGGCTGCATTAGATATTCTAACAGAACAGAACTGTATTACATCTCATGGTCACGAATCTTAAAAGAATAATTGGGGAGCATGCATTTTGTCTCTCCTCTTGTGACCAGAAGCGAATAGCGAATAATGGCAAGTAATTTTAATAAATGCTACGCAGAATGGCGTTCTCGAGCTGACATGTGGCACAAGTCTCAAAAGTAAAAAAACTTTAATTCATTGGAGTTCGAAGGGACTTAGTTATAGATATAGGTAGATGAATATGACGAAATCGTGCATGCGTAGAATTTCTTGGGATGATTAAAATGGCATATTGCGTAGTAGTATGACGCTGTGAGATATTTTTGGACGAAAATATTTTAATAATCATTATAGTTAACAAACTTATTCTTGTACAAAAAAGCATTTATTGTTTTATGTTAAACATAAGGACTGGTTGTGTAATCAGTATATTTCTGATAATACTTTGGATTTACACCAAGATTTAGTCTATGATAATCTTGTATAGTTTTATTGATAACACAGTTCCTAAACTTTCATGTACTATTTACGCTATTTAGAATTAACGCTGACGAATTAACTGCCTGAATTAACTGCTGCTGAATTAACGCTGCCTGCTAAGATTTACAGTGATATCAATACATTGCATACAAGACAGACACATACGACGCTGACGCTTTCATGATCTAAAATAAAAAATAAATTATCCACAAAAACATGCATACAAGTATATATGAAGCAATATGTTTTGTAGCAAGCAGTGATATTAACTAGAAAAAGTGCAAAGGGCATCGAGGATATTTATAAATCAAGAAAAATCGAGAAACTTACACTCGCAAAAACTTCCAAAGATAAATTTGTCATTCCTCCTGCCGTGAAAGTCACTTGTTTTTGAGATCTCATAATTACGAATAATACATTTTTACTCTGATTAGGAGTCATATGATACCATAAGGAATTGTACGCTGCATCGGCGAGTGATTTAGTCTGGGAGCAATACAAGAAACAAAGATTGAAGTAAAATGTCACTTCTTTCATATTAAAAAGATCATAAGTAGTCTATGGCTCATAAGTATCATAAAATATTAATAATTCAATAGGAAATACATACACACATATACACATATCACGAATTTCTGCAAGGTAAGTATAGTATACCTTAACGAAATATGCAAATAAAAAAACTTCCATTCATTTGAATGTATTTTAAAGAAAATATGTTGTAACCATTTTCAATCGAGTATTGCTCCAAACAACCGAGCTATTATAGTTAATAATGAACTATGATATTAGATTGCGCAGAAAAATTATTTAGACTTAATAATATTTTGATGTTTACCAACCTTAAGGCTTATGTATTCTCCAACAAAGCAAAAGAGAAAAACTTCCATCATTATGCCACCATAAGCAAATACAATTTTCAACAGATCGGCACCAACTTCTTTACCAAACTATTTCATTAAATGATTAAAAAGACAAAATGAATTACGGTATCGATCATGGCGCACACGTAAAGGTACTGCAATACCTACTGCCATAAGAAGGAGTCCTAGTCCGCAAATAATTGCGGTATTGAAAAAAATTTGAGTCAAAGCTACCAAGGAGAAAAGTTTACCGACATTCTGCGAAAATGAGATGACTTTATTGTGCTTTTCGATTAATATTCCTATAGTATGTCCAGAAGATCCGCTATAAGATACGTTCTCGGAGAAAGCTTTAAACTCTTGATATATGATATCAATTTGTCCGCCTGCATGAAGTACCTAAAATATACTTAAGTATCTGCAAAGATTTCAAGTATCATGTTTAAAGAAGCAATTGCGCTATGATGGATATCTCGAATAAAAAAAGAGAATAGGAAATAAGGGAGTGAAAGAAAGAGAAAACAGCATATTATATTTTCTCATATAATATATAATTGAGTATATAATTTAATTTAATTATAAATATCTCCCGATCAGTGGTCAATGAATTTTCTCTTTTTCTGACCAAGTTCGGGGTCATATCAGAGTAGCAAAGCAAGTTTCGCAAATCATGTTCGATCGTAACTAAAGTTATTTAAAGTTAATTATTTCTGCCGCAAATGATGCTTATAAGTCGTGAGTCGATTCTTCAGAATTCTGCGAGACATACCAGAGTAAAAATCAGCGAGTTCACAACAGTAACCGTGAACATGTTAAATATCGCGTGCACAAACAAGGCGACGAAGAGTAGCTCGTAGATCGGCGTTTGCTCAACTTCAAAGGGAAAGAGTATCTTCATGGGAAACGGTCGCGTGGTATCATTGCCCCCCTGCGACTGTTGTATTATTGTAATCGCGGTATTGTAAATCGCTAGGTAGTAAATCGTAACGGCGAATACGTTGAAACTCAACAAAGCGTTTGAAAAAAAGTGCGCGACACTGGCTTTCGCTGTCATCAAGTGCAAATGTTCATCGACTTTCACGCACTCACGCCAATCTGTGTCCATGCCAGTCAGTATTTCGCGAACAATGCTGCAATATTTCACTTTAATCGGATAGAGATACTTTGCGTGGGAGTGTTATCACCAATTACACGAAATTATAAAACGCCACATCAATCAATACATAGACGATGCAACTAATCAGTGGACTAGCGTGGCACACATTCAGAAACGATCTCATCCCTCGAGTTCGTAGACGAATTCAAGGAAATCGAAATCGCATTTTTTGATACAGTGTCTTACCGGCGATTCGTCCAAAGAGCCATCAGTTTGACGGCTGATAAACTGTAATTTAAAGTCGTCGGCAGGTTGTCCATGAGATTCTGTAGCTCGTCAAGTTTAAAATGCGCAAATAGATATAGATATTGCAAGTACTGCATCACAATCATACTCAACATAAAAACTAATCGGCGAACGACGACGTATCGCATGTCGGGCCACGCGCAGAGTAATCGAAGGCCGATTCTCAGCGACGGACTAACCGTACTTGTGAATATCATTTGTTAACGATCCCTAATATGCACGAATGAAACTCAGACTATGCACGGTAAACTGAGAGAGCATTGTCCAATCCTCGAAGTGCATCCTCATATGCACCATCCCCACTCCTATGACCATCGATCAATCGTTATTATGTGTTCTGTAGTATAACAAAAAGTTTAAGATGATTATTTGTAAGAACCTCTTTTAATTCTTTGCATATTGACCGTACTTGAGAGAAAAATGCTCAGTTTCCTTGCGCAGATGTTAGTCTTCCCACTTACCTTTTTTTCGAGAATTTTCCTTCACGACAATGCTATATCATCGACAAAAAGCGAATGTTCTTCGCATTTTCTGAGCTTATCGAGGACTTTTAAACGTCGTCGACTCCATTAGATATTCTAACAGAACGGAACTATATTACACGCGCAACCACGAGTTTTAAAAGAGATAATTGGGGAAAGTACATTGTGTCTCTCCTTATGCGATCAGAAGCGAATAGCGAATAATGGCAAGTAATTTTAATAAATGCTGCACAGAATGGCGTTCTCGAGCTGCACATGTGGCAGAAGTAAAAAAGTTTTAATCCACTGGGGTTCGGAGAAACCTAACTATAGGTACAGGTAGACTAAAATGTGGAAATCGTACATACGTAGAATTTCCGGGAACGATTCCAATGACAAATCCCACATTGGATATAGTATATTACAAAATAATTTTGGATCAAAATATTTTAATATGTATTAGGACCTTAACTTAGTTTCCGCCCAAAAAATACTGAGAAAAAGCATTTATTGTAAAAAATTTATTTAAATTATTTCAATGAAAGAATTTTCCATCACTTTCTACAACTTTTTGCCATCTTTCTGGCAACTGGGCGATACCATCTCGATAAAACGATGTTTGTTTCGAAGCAATCCATTCGTCCACCCATTCTCGCACTTCTTCAACATTTCGGAAGCGTGTACCACTCAAGCCGTGCTGCATCGATCTGAACAAGTGGTAATCAGAAGGCGCTATGTCTGGTGAGTACGCTGGGTGAGGAAGAGTTTCCCATTCGAGCTGCGTCAGTGT